CTGCCCACCGCGCCCACCATACGGAGCGGATGAGGAAGGCGGAGCAGGAGGCGGAGGGGACGAGGAGGAGGCGGCGGAGGAGAGAGGATGGCGGGGAGGAGGTCGGAGAAGAGAGGAGGAGGAGCAGGAGGAGGAGGAGGAGGAGGAGGAGGAGGGGGAGGAGGAAGATGGGGAGGAGAAGGTTAAAGAAAATGAAGGCACTCCAGGGACGTCGGCAGCAGCGGCAACTGGAGCCTAAGCAGTGAAAAGTCCTTGAAGGATAAGAGGAAGAGAAGAGGAGAAGGAGGAGGACGCGGCGGAAGCAAGGCAAACGAGGAGGGGACGAGGAGGATGCGGAGGAGCAGCAGGAGGAGCAGAAGAGAGGAGTATGGGGAAGAAAAGATAGGCAAAAGGAGAAAGGAATAGACGGGATGACGAGGAAGAGGAGGAGGAGGAGGAGATGGAGAAGGCGGAGAAGGAAAGAGGAGGAGGAGGGGCAGGAGGAGATGGAGGAGGGGGGGAGGAGGAGGAAAGGAAAAGAAGGAGGTGGCAGAGGAGTAAGAGAGAGAGGAGAAGAGAGCAAAAGGAGGAGCGAGAAGGACCTGTGCAAACCCAAGACGCATCAACGATGCTGCAATCAACCCTACCTCCAAGTTCCCTTTTTCTAGGTCCTTCGAAAAAAATATGTTTGCACTGATGAGGAGTCCCCTTTGTAAAAAACACCGACGGAGAATCTTCAGTCGTGCCAGAACACCACTCCTTGGAGTTTAACTCCGCGAAGCAACTTTACAAATTCGACCTGACGATCCTGCATCATGCCAGAATGCCATTACTGGGAAATCAGCACCAAGAATCAACGTGACTGCTGCGCCCGGGTAATCCTAAATCACGCACGAACACCATTTTGGGGACGTCAACCATAAAAATCCGCTAGACTGTTGTATACTTTTGAGAAAGCTGTGCGCGGCGCGATGGCAAGAACCACATTTTGAAAACGTTCCGCCTTCCATCCGCGAAACCCTGGCAAACGTTTAAAACGAATGCGCGCGGCGCCAAAGAAAAACACAATCTGGGAACGACCCGCCCTCCATCCACGAAACTCTTGCGAGCTTGCAAGGCCAGTGTGCGCGGCGCTGCGGCGAAAACCACTTTTTGAAAACGCCCACTATCCGTGAATCCCACCAGCCCTCTGGGCGTCGGTGGTTTAGAGCGTTTCCTCTTCCACCCCTCCTTCTGCCCAAGATGACCTCCAAGATGGCTCAATTGATCCCAAGATGTCTCATAATGGCTTCCTCTGTGTGCTGCCCACTTCCCTGATCGAGGCAATTCCTCTGGGCATCGTTTCTGGATGGGCTGGTGGGGATTCTGTTTAGTCAGCGACCGCAGGCGAGAGCGCCAGCGGCGAGTCGAGTCAGAGCGGGCCGCGCAAAGACGAATTCACCTAAAGCCGATGGGCTCGGAGCCTCACGCGGCACCTCGGCGGGCGAGCCGGCGAGTGGAGGGGTGCTGGCTGGTGCTGGCTGGTGGGGATTCTTTTTGTATCTGCGGCCCGCAAGGAAAAGTCCAGAGGGCGTGTCAATCAGGCTAACTGGGGCACAGAGCCAGATAATTCGTGCAACATGCAGAACAAATTGGGGAAAACGGGCAAGCAGGAAGGGGCGACTGAAGACGGAAAGAGGAAAAAGGGGGGGCCTCACTCACGGAGCACCGCGTGCTCGAAGGCAGAACTCCACTGACTCAGGCGACGGTAGACATGGCGTGAATCCCACGTGGCAACTGTCACCCACCGGGAAGGGGAAAACGTCGTGTGGACCCACTTCACAATCACCAGCGTCCGAGGCACGTCAGGGGGGAACTGCGGGCAGGTGGACCACCTGCGCACCGCGGATGGAGTGCCACCCGGGCAGACCCACGCACCATTGTGGGATCTATACGCAGTGCTGTGAGAGGCTGGTGGGGATTCGCGAAGCGTCAACAATTTCTTGCGAACGTTTAAAACGAGTGTGCGCGGCGCTACGGCGAAAACCACGCGTCGAAAACGGTCCGCTCTCCATCCGTGGAACTCTTACAGACTATGGCATCGGATGCGCGCGACGAAACAAGCGAGAGCCACGTCTTGAAGACCACCCGCCATCAATACGCGAAACTGTTGCAAAGTTCGAGCTTCATGATCATAGGGGGTGAGGAAGTTCAAAGCGAAACGCCGAGCCTGCCCTACCGACGCGTCTCGGGGTGCGACAGGGAAGAGTTACCCACAAGCAGAAGGGATGGATGAGAAGGAGGCAGAGGAGGAGGCGGAGACGCAGGCGGAGGAGGAGGCCGTGGAGGAGGCGGAGAGGAGGCGGAGGAGGCGAAGGAGGAGGAGAAGGCGGAGGAGGCGGAGGCGGAGGAGGCGGAGACGGAGGAGGAGGCGGAGGCGAAGGAGGCGGAGGCGGAGGAGGAGGCGGAGGCGGAGGAGGCGGAGGCGGAGGCGCAGGCGGAGGCGGCGGCGGAGGCGGCGGAGAGGAGGCGGAAGAGGAGGCGGAGGAGGAGGCGAAGGAAGCGAAGGAGGAGGAGGCAGAGAGGAGGCAGAGAGGAGGCGGCGGAGGAGGCGGCGGCGGAGGAGGCGGAGGAGGGGGCGAGGAGGCGCCGCCCCTGCCGAATGGTCAACAGATCCTCTACGAGGGTCCGCCCCGCCCCCCCGCCCGCCCGCCCGCCTCCCCGGACCCCCCTTTCGGCCAGGCCGCTGGGGACTGGAGCGGCATCGGGTCAGGCCCCGATCGAACCGATTTCCCGTGCGGGCTTGTGCTTCATGCCGAGCCTGGCTCCCAGTTTGACTAGTCGGTGTTCGTTGCTTCTGGACGCCCTCTGTCGGCTGTGCTCCCCCTCTGTTCGGCAAGTCTCTCCATGATGAGACACGTCCATGCCTTTTCCACTGCGACCCCGCCCAATTCTCCCCCTTCTGATCTGGCCGTCTAGTTCTGCCACGGGCTTTCTGCTCCTAGCCCCCCTCTTGCAAATTTGTCTCGTGCTCCATCCTTCTCCCTCCCTCTTTCCATCCGCCCTCTCTTCCCCTGTTTGTAGGGGCTGCGCTAAATGGACGTGGCACGTAAGGAAGAGATACACCCAAGTGGGTACTATCGAAGACAAAAGGGGGCGGGCAAGGAGGGTTCGGGATATACTGTTGAATGGTACGTGAGCAGATAAGATAGGAGCGAACACTTTTGAAATAATTGTTGCTATCGTCGTCGTCGTCGGCGGCGGCGGCGTCGTCGTGGTCATCGTCGTCGTCGTCGTCGCATCGTCGTGGTCGTCGTCGTCCTCGCCCGCGAGCCGCCCGCGACCCATCCCGCGACCCACCCCGCGACCCAACCCTCGACCCACCCGCGATCCACCCGCGACCCACCTGCGGCAGGCTCGTCGTACAATGTGTTGGAAAATCGGCGCTTGCGGCGGGTTTTCAGAGCCTCGCAGACTGCCGACGACCCCGCAGCCTTCTCACACTTATCCCCAGCTGCGGGGTGGCACGTAGGATTCCCACCTCAACCGATGACTGCGAAACATGACGGCGATGAGTCAAACCGGCGAATCGGCGCGTGGCGAAAAAGGGCCGCCTAGGAGGGATGGGCCAGAGGGGGCAAGCGGGGACGCCACATGTCGAGAAGCGGAAAGAGAGCAGGACAGCGTGGCGAGCACAGATAGGCATCAGCAACACGCCGTACGGGGGCGAGATGACGAAGAGGAAGCAAAGCCCCCGAACCTCGTGGGCGAAAACCACGCGGCCTCGCCGGCTGGGCCCCTAGGCCGCGACCCCCTCGGACACGGGGCGCTTCTTCGCGGATGCCCCGCCCGGAACGTTTCCGCGCGGACGCGCATCCGCGGGATCGCGCCCCGGAATCCAGACCGCGAGGGCGCGGATGCGGACATGGAAGGGGCCCTGGGACACACAAATGAATAGACACAAACGACAGGACTCCCCACACCTCCCCATACTTTATGGGCTGTCGTCTTCCCCCCCCCCCCTTCCCACATGTTCCTCTATATCTCTTGGGAAGAGTCGACGATGAATTGTGCCTGTGTGCTTCTTTCCCTCCTCAACATGGAAGCCCGCGCGGGTTCCTCATGCACTGCTCGAGATGTTTTGAGAGTGACGGCGCGAGACACATGCTCATCTCGTGGCCCGGACCACTGTAGCCAGCTCCATCCCGCGCCCGGATAATTCGTAGAGCCCTTCGGCACCGATGAGCTAGAGAGACTGGAAGCCGGCGGTAAACGTCCAACCAAGTTACGGCCGGGACCCTCGTATGAAGGGGCCCTGGGACACACAAATAAATACACACAAATAAAATGATTCCCCATATTTTCCCATATTTTCTGGGGAATCGCCGATTAATTGTGTCTGTGTGTTTCTTTCCCTCTTGATCGTAGAGCTGAGACACGTTCGCCGCTGCTCAGGGCCGCCGGCGTGTTCCACTCGCCGCCGGCACCCGGGCGCGGACGGCTCGCCCGAGGCCTGCCGCCCTCCTACCCAGGGAGAGACACTGGGCACGGGCTCCTCCTCCTCCTCCTCCTCCTCCTCCTCCTCCTCCTCCTCCTCCTCCTCCTCCTGCACTCTTTGGAAGAGGAGGAGGAGGAGGAGGAGGGGGCCCTGGGACACACAAATGAATAGACAAAAGTAGCAGGATTCCCCAAATTTTCCCACATGTTCTAGGTGTTCGTCTTCCCCCCCACTTCCCACCTTTCCCCATTTTTCCGGGGAATCGACGCTTAATTGTGTCTGTGTGTGTTTTTCCCTCCAGACTCTTTCTGGATGTTGTTCAGCGTGAGTGCGGGGCCGGGAGCACGTTGCTAAAGCGCCGTGGTACTCGCGGTGAGCGCGGCTTCACGATCGTGTGGAGGCTGTGGCCTGGCCGCAGCGAGGAGGCAGGGCCTTTGGTCCCCGTTACCTGGTGGGGCGGAGATTTGTGTGGTGGCAGGAAGCACTGCGTTGGGGGGCTGGGTGTGCAGCAGCACTGGCCAGCCAAACGGGTTGACGCGACGGA